ATCAGTTCAATTTCTTTAATAGGTAAGAGCCAATTCCTATATTCTGTTCCTGAGTCGTTTTTTTTTTTTTTTAATTGTCCTTTAAGAAGTGTGTGTGTGTGTGTGTGTGTGTGTGTGTGAGTACATCATCTGAGTTTCAGTGGCCTAATTCAGGCGATGGTTATTTCATACCTAAATTATTGGCATATCATCCAGTTTCTGGCTCACTTCTAGAGATCTGGAACATTTTAGTAAAGAACAAAAAAATAAAAGCACTGAATTGTAACATACCTCTGAGAAGGTATCGCTGAGTCACACGCAATGTAATGCAGTGTTACCTCAATAAAAATAAAAAGAGGGCCCTCCCTGGTGGCGCAAATGGTTAAACCACAGCACTATAAAGCTGGCCACAGCCACTTCAGCACAACTTCAATTCCCCGCCCCGGAGGTAACCCACATGGCGTGGCAGACCTCTCCTGACCTGCCCGCTGCTCCCCTTCGTTGATCTGCCTGTTCTGTTCCCCACTCTATCTGGTGAAGCCTCTCACCACCTCTGCACCTCTGGCCAGTACCCCAGTCTGTATGGGTAAATAAATAAATCATAAATGAATGAATGAATGATACTGAACTATCACTGCCCCCAAGTCTTCACTGTGGGCAGAACAAGATAATTCTCTTCATCCTCAACCATTTTACCAAAAGAAGGTTTTCTCTTGTTCTTTACCATAGTTTGGTGATTTCAACCCTGACTGTACATTGGAATCCCCTGTTGAGCTTCCAAAATGGAGAAGCAAACCTGGCCTACTCCAGAGGGACGCATTCACTTGCTATAAGTGGATAGTACATCATGAATATTCTATATTGAGTGGTTGATCTAAACTATCCCGTATAAATACACAAATTTCCCTTACCCTCAAACACTCATCAAATCTGCCAACTCTAAATCCTAAATATTTTTTAAACTACCTTCTTTCAGCTCCTATTGCTACTTCTCTATTTCAGACCCTTACTATTTCTCAGCAGAGCTGTTCGGCAAACGTTCTTATTCAGCTTCTTGCCATCCATTCTATAAATAGTGCCAGACAGACCAATTTTTCATAAATTTAAGTTGAATCATGTCATTTTTTTCTAGAACCCTTCATTAATTCCATTTGCCTACAGGATAGAGTTCAAAAGTCTCTTGACATGAGAAATCAAACTTTCATGATCTGACTTGTCCCTATTGTTCCTGCTTCACCTTCCACTTGTCTTCACTCTAGTCCCCTATACTGATGCTCTAATAATAACAAAGCATTAAATTTTCCCAAAATATGATGAAACTTTAATTGCTGGTATGTTTGTTAATACTGTTTTCTTCTACTAGTACATCAGTCTACCCTCCCTTATAACCTGCTTATCCACCAAGATATAGATTGAATGCTTTAGGGTTTTCTCTTCAGTAATGCAAATAGAATTAGATGTCCTACCCTGTTCCAGGGTATTTTCTGAGTCATGACAGGTATCTTGTCTATTAAAAATAATCTATTTCTTTTCTATCTCCACCACTAAAATCACCTTGAGAACAATAACCAGTTCTTGCTCATGTGTGTATACCCATTGCCTAGCGTATAGAAAATATTCAATAAATATTTGTTTTCTCTTAGCCCACCTCAACCCCATCATATATTATCAGGTTTATCAATCATGTTTTCAAATTTATAAAGGAATATATAAACTTATGAATATATAAAGGAATGATTAATTTGGAAATTAATTGATCAGGAGAAAGGAAAGCAGACCTTAAGACAGCTGAGGTTTTTTCTCTCTTGAGTGAGAGAATGGTGATATCATTCAATGAGAATGGAAATAAAAGAACTAACTTCAAGATAAAGATAAGACATTGCTTTAGGCTGAGTTGCTTTGGGAGGTCTGAGGAGACATCCCTTCACCACTTTTCAGAATATACTTGATCAGGTCAGCAATTTTGTAGAGCACTGTGGGCTACATGAATCTCTTTAAAAATAATAATTGAAGATACAATGGGGTGGCAAGATCACTAAGAAAGTGCCAAGGGGAAGAAAAGATGGATGAGGACAGAAACTTCAGGAAAGACTGCATTTAGGGGGAAAGAAGCTGATGAATTCCCAGCAACAGAATTCAAGTAGAGGCCTCCTAAAACTAGAAAACCACTTAAGATAATATATTATAAAGTCCAAGGGAAAATGTTTTAAGAACAGAGGCAATTCCTGTGAAGTGGCCTAGTAATAAGAAGACTATTGAAAGAGCAAAGAACACTAGACTTATTCTTTTAAAAAAAAAAATAGGTTTAATAAGTGTGTATATTATAATTAATTACTATTTTGTAAAAATTTGACAGAGAAAAGAAGAAAAGAGGAGATGGTGAGTTTGTTTTTGTGTTTTTAATTACAAAAGTGCAATGCCTTATAGAGGAAATTAAAACATTCAGAAATAAATAAATTACAAAATTCTTTTCCCTGTCACTCTACTTCTAATTCTCTGGTTTGATATTTATCCAGATAGGACTTCAAAAAGACTTTTGCTTTTATAAAAATAAATTCTGTATACTGAATAAGTATATATTCAATAATGTAACTTGTTATATGCTCAATAATATAATTTATTCAGTAAACTAAATTATTTTAAAAAATTATTTTACTTAATAATATGTCAAAATTTCCCCACAATAGTATGGATTACTAGCTACCTCATTCTTTTTAATGACTGAGCAGTATTCCTTACGACAGCTATGTCATAGTTTGGTTATTCCATCTGATATTGTGTAATACATGCCTCCCGTTTTTTCACTATTATAATTTTGCAATGACCATCTTTGAGCAAATATTCTTATGGTGTTGTTTATGTAATTCTATAGGATAACTTCTTAAAAGTAGAACTATTAGGGTAAAGGCATATTTTATTTTGTATTGAAAGTCAACCACAAGAAAATTACAATAATTTTCAGTTCCTAAATAGTTCATTAAAATATTTTTGGCCCACTTTCTCGCTGACACTGAATGTTATTATAATTTCCCAATTAAGGGGAAAGTTTTTAGTTTCAAGTTTAGATTTTGATTTGAAATGTAAGGTCTGATCTTGATTGTGATCCTAGAAAATAATATAGCTGAGAGGAAGAGGAGTTTCTAAGTTACAGGAAAGGATGATTAATAAAGTATAGTGACAGGAGCATGAATCAAAACTATGTCAGGTGGCCCTCCCTTCCTGGTGGTGCAGCGGGTTAAAGCACAGCACTTCAAAGCTGGCCATGCCTGCTCCCTTGGGAGTTCGATCCCCTCCCCAGAGGTGACCCACAGGCACAGCAGACCTCTCCTGTCTCACCAGCCCGCCCAGTGTTCCCCTCAGCAGTGTACTTCCTCAGTCTGCCTGTTCTGCGCCCCATTCTGTCTCTGCTGAATCCTCTCACTGCCCCCGTACCTCTGGCCTATACCCCAGATCTATATGCATAAAATTAATAAATCTTTAAAAAAATCCATGTCAAGAATATGAATAGAAGATGTAATTTTCTTTCTGGGGCATTACAAGAAGAATAATAAAGGGGGAAGGATGGTAGTCAATACAAATGAAGTTTTTTATACAGTCATTATTATTCCATGGAACTTAGAAGCCAAGTCCCTTGTTAAGATAGAAGATCACCAGGAGGGGGTTTAGAATAAAGGTAAGGTATAAAATGGGATTAAAAAAATAAAAAAGCAGGCAGCAATCAGTGATTTGTGTTGGCTGAATTTGGGAACCCCGCTGAGCTGAGAATGAATGAATTTTGGGACAGCCAGTAGTCGTGGTCACATCAATTTTCTATAAGAATAAGCAAAGATACAGTCATTGAATTTCTTTCAGTTTGGTACTTCTGGACTGAAATAAATTTATCTTTAACTTAGAGTAAAACCGGTTCAGTCTTCTTATTTTCCTGTCTCATTAATAGAAATTCTGTGAGTACCCACATATGGGTACAAATGGAAAAATGATCTCTGGGTTCTGGTAAAAAAAAAAAATTCAATGATACAATTTTAATACATCCCATTATGACCATATAAGGTTATACTTCTAATAGTCTTTGTCTCTATCATCCTAAACACAAAGTTATTACATTTCTTGGTTATTAATGAATTATGTTATTAAGCACCATTACTAAAGATGTTGATCAACATAAATTGGAAGCCTAGTGCCTTTGATGGGCTTATGTGATTGGAATCATGGTTAAGAGCCAGCTGGGATGATTAATGGTAATTCTCTATCAACTTTTCTTGGTTGTAGATTACCTCTATATCCTATTTTTCAGAATCTTACTTTCTCGATGTATATCTTTTTGTCTACACTTTAATTTTCACCTTGTCTGTGGGCATGGGGAAGGCAAAGCCAAAGTGTCAGGCGTCTGTGGTGAATTTAAATTAGAAAGAAGAGGCTGTAGAATAGCAAGGGATACATTCTTCTCTAAAAAATATAATGCTGTGAGAGAAAATGTGCTAATAGTGGCAAAGCCATTTTATTAGAAAGAAAAACATATGGACATGTGTTTGTTTCCATTAAAATTCCTTTCACTCTATATTTGACTTATTAACCTCAGAATGAAATTATGTGAGGACAGAGACCCATTCTTCCACATGCACAGTTGTACGACTCCTTTCATGTTCTAACAATTGAAAATGAGAAGCACACGTGCATTTCAGAGCAAATTAGCGATATTTTAATTGCTAATGTTCATTTTTAGTACTTGATATCCTCTTAGTCATACTCGGTGGCTTTATTAATAAGCAGCTTCGTGGGTCTGATTCTCATTTTCCCAACTCCAAAGATAAACTTTTTGAGAAGAAAGCCTATTTCATCTCCATAATTGTGACAGGACACAAAATAGACCTTCAGTAAATTATTTAAATTGTACCTCAATAAAAAAGAAGAAGGAAAAGAAAGTTCTTATAAATTCCATTTTAACTCATGCTACTTTAGATGCCTTTGTGTGATCTATAGCCCCTTTGCTGCTCTTTACTCTTGTTGTTTATCCTTTTCAGCCTATTGACATCAAGATGTGATGGCTGGCTGCCTGGAACATCACCATCCATCAAAAAATACCAAGACGCCACTAGCAATGGAGAGAATAAGAGGGAAAAGAAGACAGTTGGGTTTCAGTCACAGGTAGAAGATGATGCCCTTTGGACATGTCAAAAGAAAGATACATATAGACCCCAAAAAGGTGAGCTTAGCATCCATAGTAGCAAAATGAGAAACTACTGGGGGCAGTGATTACTGGTGGCTGCTATCCAAGATCTCCAGAGGGTTTCCTACAATCTTGAACTAGAGGTGAGTATGTGACAAACTGGTGTGTGCTGGCAGGGCCAAAGGTCGCATCTACTAGTTCAGTGAGTTAACCAGCTATTCTCTTAGAATGTTCATAAGAAACTACCCAGTTTGTCCCTTTTTATAAGCAGTAAACTGTAAAAATTATTCAGCAGTAAGTATGATCAAGTACACAGAATAATGTTCAATGTGAGTAAAGGCCAGAGACAGAACATAAGTCTCTACTGAGAAAGTAAAGCCTACCGACTGAAGTTAGTCCTCTGTTAACTGAAAATGTGGCGGGATTAGATTTGAGGTCATAGATAATTCTACATTGTGGCTAAATGAAAACTTTGTTTTAAGCTAACGTTGCCTAGTAGTGTTTTAAGTTCCGGTAATTTTTCCCACTTTATATGTCATAGATGTTTTAAAAGAAGCCACTGAAGTAACTGAAATGTTGAGTAAAGCAGCAGCATTTAGCCATATTTCCCTGTTGTCTGGTGTGATCTGAGAACTTGGCAGCAGAATAAAGCATCTCTGAATATCATTGTGCCCAAGAGATGTTCAGGCACCAACAGGCCGAGAAACACCTCTACGCCCCCTTCTGCTCACACCTTGTCCCCAGATTCCTTTTTTAAATTCTCACAACCATTTATACTAATTTCCTTTTATTTATTTTGTTTTTTGATGGCTGGCACCTGCCTCTCTCTGGTGGAAGCAGCCAATTTCTTGTCCACCCTCTATCCACTCTCAACACTATTCAATGGAGCGTGGTACGGCACTTCATGAGCAGGTCTCGCAGATGTACCCCCCCGCCTTTCCTCATCCCTGCCAGCACCATCATGATTTTGTTTTAATTATGATGAATCAAGAAATTATTCAGTTTAGGTAATTGAGAGATGATAATTTGTCCACGTCCACAGTTTGAAACAAATGCAAAAGTAGGTTTGTGTGACACAAGGAATCTCATACAGCCTTCTGTTTCTTTAAGACAATTTAGAACATTTTTTTTTCTTTTTAGAATCTGCTACCAGAAACAGACATGAGTTGAGGGGAGTTAGTTTCTGAGATAGAATTGCTGTTACTTTCACAGTTAGTCGTGCTTCAGAGTTGGGAAACTCTTACTTTGGCTCCTCTTGGTTAAATTGCATTTTGGAGAGTGGAGAACTTGTCACAATTGGTGTGTTGGGTGCAGTGCAAAGCTTACATAGGCTTCTGTTAACTTGTCAACAGATTTGTGTTGTGTGTCAGCATGAAAATAAAATGGCAAAATGAGAAAAATATAGTGTAATAGCAAAGGGACAAATAGCTCATGTTATTGGTTAAGACCACAGCCACATTTGAAAGCTGCAGTTGAAAAGGCAGTTGGAGGAAGGTGTCATCAGGCCAGGCCTTGCCGTGGTGGAGGTTAATCTCTCCCGGGCCCAGCTATAGAAGCTGGAAGCCTGCAAAGGGCTTGTGTCCAAAAGAAATCAATTTCTAATTTGAAACAAAATCATTTTTGACTAACAGGGGTTCAGAACCCATTACTTTTTGCTGTATAGTGTGCTGACATTTCAGCACTTTCTGTTGTGCACAATGAATCCTAATAGTCATTGTATAATGTTGCTATACCAATCAATTTAACCAAGAGAAAACTGTTACACTTCTGCAAAGTTTTCTGGAATAGTTTTTACTCATGGTTTTATTTTTTCATTTCCCACCCTCTCCCTCTTTGGGGGGTGAGGAGGGGTTGTAGTGTTGCAGTGAAAAAAACTAGAAACTTCTTTCATATCTTTGAAAGAGTTTTAAGTTAGTCATGGGAATGACTAACTTGTTTTCTACGCTTAAGACTTCTTGTATTTTTCTCTTCTTTTATTCTAATATGGAGCCATTAGCAAAATGATGTGTCACCTGATCATGAAAGGAGCTGAGGATGTACCCTTGAGTCATTCAGAGCTGCAGGACACAGGTCACAGCTTAGCGCAAAGTCACTGCATTGGCATTTGCAGTGGCACCCGTCCAAACGGAGGCAAACTTCCTCAGGTGTGCCACAGGGGAGTTGGATGCCCTATTTATCATAAGGGCGATGGCCTACCATTGATTGCCTAAGTTACACCTCTTGGTTTAATGTATACTTACTTTCCCCTCATTAGCGTGTCTCAATTTCATTATGCTTTCCTTGGTAATATATCCTTTGTTTCTCTTGTTGTCCTTTAATCATTAAATGCTACAAAGGACATTTACTGTGAGACGATTAATTATTATTTTTAATCTCTTATTCCTTCATGTCTTCTATCCTCCTCATCAACTTTATTGATGCTAAATGTGTGAAAAAAGACCTGGCTCTTGTCTCAAGAAACAACCTTGTAGTCACAAAAATATGTATACTATTTGTCAGAATTACCCTTAGAATATAAATTTCTTTCAGTCATCATCAGTGTTCAGGGTCTTCTATTTTAGTTGCTTTTATTGAGCTATGTGGAACAGGGAGAATCTCAACCTAAGTCAAGCACTTTTAAACTGAAGGCATAAACCTGGAAGTGCCCAGTCTTTATTCCCTTTTTTCCTCCCAACGCAGTGCTTTATTTTTTTCTCCCAACTTGCCTAGAATCTCTCTTTTCTGAGTGATAACTGATTTCCTTTCATCTCACGAACTCAGGGAAAGGTTGGGAACCCCCTGAGCACATATGTTCCCTGAGAGAGAATTGTTACACCTCAGGACTTAGCGCTGCCAATTCTTATATCAGACATTAAAGCCATTCCAAGGCCTCTTCTGCATTTAGGCCAACTGCTGTTTGTTGCTCTTTTATGGACCTCTGGTTCCCTTTAAAAGCTTGAGAGCCGCTCTACCTGGAGTAATTTGCATTTACCTGATGGTGTTGACATTGCCCTTCACTTTGTCTTTGGACCTTTTTAGGCTATGTAGGCTACATCAACCAGTGGTGGAGACCCCATGATGCTCCCTAACACAGGTGGCTTGTTTTTTTTATGGGAAGAGGCTTATTTAAACTCATCTGAATGAGGAATAGTCTCTGAAGCTCATTGTTGCACCTCTTAGGGAGCTTCTCCTTGCAGTGCTGTGAGTCCTCTTATTACTGTATGTTTATTATATGTTCAATCATTAAAAGGGAACCATAAGATATTACTTTAGATTCCCAGAGGTCTTGGCTAAAAGATTTGCTAAAAGTAGATGCCTTTAACAATAGAACATGTATACAATAAATTGTGTGCCCAGTCCCCTCAAAGAAGGAATTCAATGTACATATTCCATGCATTTCCTATTAAAATTCCAACAACAATGTTTACAGAAATGGAAAAACTAAGCCTAAAATTAATACAGAATTACAAAGGTCCCCAGATAACTACACAAACTTCAAAAGGGAGAACAAAGTTGTCGGTTGTATTTTCATTATGATTCTTATACTATCAAGACTAGAATACCAAGAATGTTTTTCTGTCCATAGGGTGTAAATTCTTGCAACCATTTTGGGAACAATTTGGCATTAGTTATTAAAAATAAAGAAATGCCCTTTATCCCACCAATTCCATTCTTAAATATACTAGAAAGAATCTTAGTCATACATTGATAACTTACAAATATGTCCTTAGCTTACCTTCAGTTAGGGTAGGCTAAGCTCTATTAACAAGTGCAGAAGGAAAAAAAAGTAATGGTTTAAAGAACACAGTGTTTCCTTCTTTCTCTTGTAATGGTCCACAGTTAGTTTTCAGACTGACAGCATCCCTTTCCAAAGGGTAGAGTAGTTCTACCACTTCTCTGCACCTTCCAAAATCACCTTGAGCTGTGGTAAACTTGATCCATATTCAAGTCTGATCACTGCTTATCTTTGCAAATAAAGTTTGATTGGAACACAGCCATATCATATCCATTTTTTGTACGTATTTCCTGTGGTTGCTTTCGTGCTGCAGTAGTCCAGATGAATAGTTGCAATAGGAGCTGAATGGCCCACAAAACTTAGTATATTTACTATCTGCCTCTTTACTAGAAAGTGTTAGCCTGCTCCTAGCCAGTCAGCAAGAGGAAGGCTACAAAAATAGAACAGAGGGAAGATCTCTAGAGACCCAAAGTAGCACACGTAACATTCACTAGTCTGCCTGATCACACATGACTATAAGAGGGAGTTGGGAAGTATGTAACTGTGTATCCAGGAAGAAGGGAAGAGTCTACTGTGTTAGATAACTAGTGACCTCTGCCATAGCAGCACTCTTCACACAGCCCCAAACCAGAGATCTTCCAAATGTGCCATCAATGGCAAATGAATAAAGACATAAAAGTGCACAATCAAAATTATATGGGAAAAAATCTACATAAAGCATCAACCTTGATAAATTTCACAGAAACAATATTAAACAAAAGAGGTCTCAAAAAGAATATATATACTGTATGACTATTTTTTTTTAAGATTTATTTATTTATTCATACAGAACTGGGGTACAGACCAAAGATTCGGAAGGTGAGAGGATTCACCAGGGACAGAGTTGGGAGCAGAAAAGGCAGATCGATGAAGTATGATGAAGTACACTGCTGAGGGAAGCAGCGGTGAACTACACTGCTGAGGGAAGCAGCGGGCGGGTCAGGAGAGGTCTGCCACGCCATGTGGTCATCTCTGGGGCAGGCGGGGATTGAACTCATGAGGAAGTGGCTTAAGCTTCTTAGTGCAGTGCTTTAACCAGGGAGGGCCCCTATATGACTATTTTTATAAAACTCAAAAACAGCAAAATAAATCACAGTTTTTGGTATACATACATACATAAATGGAAAAGTGACACTGCTACCAGTACTTTAGTTCTTGAGCATAACCTTTCTTAGAAAGTGGTTACATGGGTATTTCTTTTGTTTAATTCTTTAAACAAAACAATGTATAATACAATATAACTCAGCTGTTTTTAAAATGCAAAATAAACCAAAGAGCCTAAAAACTGAGACTTCCTAAACATTGAACTCTGAAAAGTTATCTTATCATGAGATATTGATTGATGGATGGGCAGACTTATTTCCAGTTATATGTAGGACATGATCCATTATATTCTGTCCATCTATGGATGCAAAAATACATGTACATGTTTACTTTTATAAAAATATTCACATATTTGCATATATAAACTTGCATTTGTGCATGAAATTTATCATTCTAACAGATAACTCTTACAACAATTTTTTTAAATGTGTATTTATATTGCCTTTGATGTGTGCATTTATATATAGAAAAATAATGTAATTTTGTAATGTGCATAACTACATGTAATTGGTTGTATACATATTAAATGTTATAGGGGGAGCAAATATAATTAGAAGGTGATATGTAGCTTTCTGGAAGTTTTGTATATAATAAAGCCTTAAGGGTTAAGAAAGAGATAGAGAAAATACAGTTTCTTTAATAAATGTTTCTCAGTAAACTGGAAGAATTCATTCCTAAAAGAGTGAAGTTATATCATTCTCTAACTCCATACAAAAAAATAAATTCCAAGTGGATTAAATAGACGTGTAACAATAAAATATATAGAAGAAAACATTGGCAATACGGTCCCTGACATCAGTGATAAAAATGTTTTTGGAAACTTAAACAAGGGAAGGGAAGTAAAAGCAAAATAACAATTGGGGTGACCTCAAATTAAAAAGTTTTTACACAGCAAGAGAAAATATGCAAGCAATCAAGAAGACATCTTGAATAGAAGATAATATTTAAACATGACACAGCCCACAAGAGGTTCATATCCAAGATATGTTAAAAACTTAAGCAATTCAAAAAACTTCAGCAATTCAGCAATGAAAAAAAGAACACATTTAGTAAATGGGTAGCAGAACTAAATAGACAATTTAACAAAAACTATATCTGGAAAATCAGTAGAGATATCCACTGATTCATTGCTTTTAATAAAGGAAATGCAAATTCAAGCCACAATGAGATTCCATCACACTCACATGAGAATGACACATATTTAAACCAAAAAAACAACAACAACAACAACAACCCATGCTGGAAGGGATGCAGAGAAAGAGAAACCATCTTACATTGTTGGTAAAAATTTTAAGAAACTATGGGAATTTACGTTAGAAAACCAAAAATGATAGTACCATATGACCCAGCAATCCCTCTCCTGGGCATATATCCAAAGAACATGAAGCCATCAGTGCAAAAATTGTATGTTCTCTGGTGTTTATTGCAGCAATGTTCATAATAGGTAGGACATGCCCACCAGTAGAAGACTGGATCAAGAGGCTGTAGTATATACATACTATGGCATATTACTCAGTGATAACGAAAGATGAAGTTTTACTATTTACAAGCAAAGTGGAGGGAAGTATGTATAGTCAAGTAAGTTAAAATGACAAAAACAAATATAGGACGTTTACATAGCAACAAGTAAAATACAAATGCTTTAAGACAACAATAACCAAAGTGAGGTTTCTGAGTTTACGCAGAAGGAGAAAAGGAGAAAGGGTCAAGGGGATGTAAGGAATGGTAGTAGGGGAAAATAAAGAAATGGAAGTAAATGTGCACAGTGCCTTAGAGTGATCATTCTTGTGGGAGGTCCTACAATCCTTTCCAAGTTTGGTGAAAATTATGGTTCATTTACCCAGAAAAATAAGCACATTACACATACAATGATGCCTGCATTGTAAGGCATTCATGCATTCTTGAATCACATTCATGGAAACCATAAAAGTCATGGACCCCTGTTAAAATTCTTCCTTTAAAGTATCACCATCCAATGCCAGTTTTCTGAACCAAACTTTTGGCATAGTATCAAAACAGAAATTGAAGACTAATGTTTAGATCCTCTATGATGTCCAAAAAGTATTTATAGTCTATCATTACTAGATATTTCTCATTTCCTCTCAGTTGTTTCTCCCTGCCATTTGTCCATTTTAATTTCTCTTACATCACCCAAAATTCACCCAGACAATTGTAGCTATGATGAACTACTTTACTTACCTCTCTGTTCTCTCTGTTCTAAATTCCGCTACTTGGGTGATCTCTCTGAAGACAAATGTGCTTGTTTTGTTATTGTTGCTACTGCTCTTTTGTTTTATTTTGAGGGAGACAGTCATACTGTTTTAGAGCTTGCAACACAAAGTCAGATAGCCCTTTGATTGCATTCAAAATGTGTTCTTCCTAGCCAGTGATTTGAACATGCTACTTGACCTTTCACAGTTTCCACTTCCTTTTCTATAAAATGAGGACAATAATATAATTTAAGGACTGTTGGAAGGATTCATGAAAGTATGCATGTAAAGTGGCTTAAGGTTTTTAACAAGGTATAAGGACACAGTGATGCTCAATAAATACTTCCTGAATATATTAAATATTGAGCCTTGAGATTTTTTATTTAATGCTTTAGTTAATTCCATGGCCCTTATTCCTCACTTTTAAAATCCTATCTCATTGGGGCTAGAAGGGATTATGCTAAGTGAAATAAGCCAGAAGGAGAAAGATAAATACCAGATGGTCTCACTTATCTGTGGAATATAGACAAACCAAACAAAGTACAAAGCAAATACAAACTTTACCAATCCATGAAAACTGACCATAAATCTGAGCTATCTAAGAAGAAAAAGAGAGAGGGATATGTTTGGGTGGGAAGAGGGTAGCATAGGGACTGCAGTAGAGGAGAATACGTTTTGAAATAATAACAAATTCCATCTCCTACTTTAAATGTCACATTTTCTGGACTTGAATGTTGGATCCATCTCCTTCTGGTCTTACCTACGGCAGTGGGTTTTTATGAGGATAAATGCAACTAATTCCTTCAAAAGGCAAAACTGTAAAGACTAATCTGGAGAGGAAAGATCAAACAAGGGTAAGGGCCGCCATGGGCAGAAGGGAACTTTTTGGTGTGAAGAAATATTCTAAAACTGGATTATAAAAATAAAGAAAGAAGTAGTGTTAAATTTTTAAACTAGTTTATCGACATGCTTGCCTGTTTCCATATATTTATTGCTATTTATCAAAGGGTATACTTAAGATTGGTAAATTTTATGGTATTCAAATTATACCTCAATGAAATGATTAGCAAAACAGGAAGAATATATGGTATATGGAAAAGGTGTAGAACAGTACCAGGCACATGCTTTATCTAATTGCTCGGAATATTTCTTTTCTTCCTCTCCAAACCTGAAAATGGTTTGGGTTGAGGGTCCCACTCATTTGTGTAGACAAAAAGATCTGAATTGTGCCTTTAGTTGACCATCCATTACATCTACATGTAATAGAGAATAGTCAGTGATGAGTGGCTTTTGATTACTAGGATCTTGAAATGATCTCTACAAATATAAGTTCTTGCCTTCTTTAGGTCAGATTTTCACTGGATATATGTAATCTGTGCCATTCCCAGACTTAACATGTGGTATTCTTGTGTTTTAGGCTTTGGTATTACCAACACTTCAAAGCTGTCCTCGTGTTATTTGAATGTGTGCCCTCCCCTCAAATAATCATGACTCTTCCCAGATGATTTCTTTAAGCAGCTTGGGTAACAGTTTCCAAGGAACCAGAAGAAAATTTTGAATAACACACTTATAGTCTTCCACTAAGAAGACAGGGATATTGTGTTATTTGTGAAATGATATTAAGAAGAAAAACATTATTATTTAAAACTTTAATAACTAGAAAAAAAACAGAAAGCCTTTCTTATTATTTAGTAATATTAAATTATTATTTAATGTCTCTTATTATTTAATACTCCAGGAGAGAAAATAATTGTCAGCTAAACATTGCTCATTAGAAAGGAACCAAATTATTCCTAGGTTAGTTGAGCATCTCTTCCCACAGACACTGTTTTAGCCCAATGAAGAATTCTTTAAAAGAAACATTCAAGATATTCATCTCCCTTGAAAATTTTTTGGGGAGTATCATTTTAATTTTGGAGGCTTGTAGGTTTGTACAACGTGCCTGAATTTTCTATTTTGTTAAAGACAAGAAAAGTAAGAAAAGAGAACAAAATAGATTAATTTACCTTCTTGGGCATTCGCACAGTAAACTAAATCAGCAAAAATATAATAGGTGATCATGTTTAAAAACAAAATCTCTATAGTTAGTCCATTATTATTCAAATCTATTTTTTAAAAGCAAGAGATTATGAATCTGATGTTTATATAACTAAACCCACTGAGCTTTCTACCTGCCATTATTTCACTTCATGGGGGAGAAAATGCCTTAGTCTCAAATCTTGGGAATTCCTGAATCTCTGTTAGATTACTCAGAATGGACTTTCCTTACCTTTTATCAAATCCCCAAATTATTTCCTTTACTGTTCATACAGGAACAATGACAGGAGTAAGAAAAGATGCATCTACATCACCCATGACAACAGGAAGCCAAAAGGAACTTGCTACCACAGCTTCATCATCATTCCAACAGGATACCTCCCGGTAAGCTTATTTTTCAAGTTTATTTAATAAGGAATAGAAAAACCTTGGCAGTTCTTGTTGGCTCTTACTTAGAAGTATCAGATTTCACTAGGTTAAACTCATGGAACCCTTTCCTTACCATACCATTCCTTAATTGAGAATAGTAGTTGCTTAGGACTTCCAGAGCTACACAAAGCTAAGCATGTCTTTCATCAGAAAATCCATTTTCATTGGAAGGTCCTTCCCAATATATCATAGAATGCTTATATCTTTATACTGTAACTTTACCTAACTGAATTAATTGATGGTGAAAATCATAGGATTTATACTACAGATAAAGGACTGTCATCATTTACTTGTATCAGAGTTAGTAATTCCATCAGCTTTTTTTGGACCCAAGAAAAGAAATATGTTATTAAAATTTCCCATATCTAATAAGCCAACTCTTGTATTACACTTTGAAGTTGAATATATAAACATCAACACCAAAAAGGGCTTGATTTATGTTTCCTCGGGGATATTGTACTTTGAGCATTCAAACTGCTACCATCTTAGGAAATAAATACAGATTTTAAGACTTTATTTTAAAGAATTTTGGAAATTGACTAATACAGAAGATCGTGGTGATGGTTGTCATCCACGGAGCTCGTGCTGTGTGCCCAGCACTGCCAAGTCCTTTGTATGTGTTACCTGATTGAGCATGGCTTTTTGAGGTGGTCCTACTATTACCCTCATTTTGAAAATTAGGAAAAGAAGGTACAAAGACATTGAGGGAGTGACTTGCCTAAAGTCACATAGCTAATAAGAGATTGAGCCGCCAGCATTTCAGTCTCTAAAGCGCAAAACCCTGTAATTAAATATTACAGTAGCTGACAATGACAGCCTCCCTACTTTGGAGGCCACTTGCAATCAAAAGGAAATTTAGCTAGTTTACCACATTCTTTTTCCATTACTCTTTTCTTTTCTTTGCAATGCTATCATTACTGGCTTTTTGCCAAAGACCCACATGAATGTGGTTCACAAATGTCGATGCACCACTTAATGTGCTCAAAGAAGATTCATCTTACTTCACCTTGAGGGATTCCTGTGGAGTTACAGGTAACGGGGACAAGCAGTCTGGATTTTTAATCTTAGTGAATGTTCCTATTGTTGAAGATTAAAATGAGATCTTCACCACTACTTTAATGTGTTTTGGATGATTATATTTCAGTTTAGGGGGAAGCATAAAAAAAGAAGAATAAAATATTTCCCCAGTAAGAGTTTTGTAGGATGTCCTCAGCATACATTTTCTGAATAGACCATATCAACTTTGGAGAGTCTTACAAGCCCAGGTCAAAGTTGCTGTGAAGATTCAGATTTGAGACCTTAAGAAAAGGATGCTTTATGTGTTAGTTCCTAGGACTGTGGAGCAGCTAAATATAGATTCTTAGAAGCATGTTAAATAATAAGCATTTGACTAAATAAAACAATATGTAGCACACCAGATTTTATCCTTAGAAGTGCACAATGACATATTATAGATCTATTATACAAACTGCAGAGTTGAAAAGGAAGACTCACTACTATGAAAATCAGTTACCAGGAAGGCACAGTGGTAGTTTTCCAGATTTCAAAATCAGGGTTATTTGAATTACTTTTATTTCAAAGGGTACAAAAGGCATTTTTATAGACTACTTTTAGTTAAAACAAATTCATAATGCAAGAAAAAAAGCCTATTGTTCTTCATCCCAACAAGCCTTTGAAAGTACCAAGGAAAAAAAGTAAAAAGCTTTTCCCCCGTCCACCCTAAATCCTGAGAATTTTCAGAATGCATAAAAAGGATGGGCACAGGACAGATGCCTGTGGGAGACAGGTTTTCCTTTGTTCTCTGAAATGCACTAACACCTAGAAGAGTCCTGTATCATTCCATGTGCAGGTGATCAAACCAGGCGTGGCAAAGTCATCTTTCTCATTCACAGAGTAGGTTGTTAATTGTACTCTCTGCTGCCTGTCAATATAATGTGAAATTTTCATTCCCCATTCAAGATAGAAAAAGTTGTGGCTGAAAATGTTAACATTTGCATTTTTATTTGTTGATTTATTTAAAGGACAGCCTCTCCTACAGCAATCCATCACTTGGTGACACCCCAAATATGAATAATGTATTGTAGACTTGCAGTTACAATGTGTAATAAGTGCGAGAGACAGTAAAGGAATGTTAACTATGTTGCAAATGTAATATTTATTGACTCATAAAGTTTATTGCTTTCCAGGTTCAATAATACTGACCATAGGGCATTAATATCACTTATCCTGATTTTAGCTGGGCACCTTTGTATGTAGAAATATTCATCTATCTCATGCTAACAAAATAAATATGTAATTTACAGCACAAGCAAAGAGGGCTTTATAGTTTTCTATGCTAGGAGCTGCAGTGCTTCTTTCTTCCCATTTCACTTCTGGCCTCCAGCATTGATCACATGCCCTGAGTTGTCCAAAAGAGTGAGCACTGCGGTCATCTTGGCACGAGAGAGTAGTGCCACTGAACTAACTGTCACACATTTTGCTTGGCTGGAACAGGCTAAACCCCATCACCACTTGACCTGGGGCTTTCTTCTCAGTCATAAAATTGAACAAATACTTTCAATTCCATGTCACTGAGTCAGTGTTTACCAATTCTGCCTGCTCCTCTTGTCTCCATTGTGAAGCTGGAACCAGGCAGGTTACCAGTGAATCTGTTATAAATGCGTATGTTAATGAAAATTAACCCTTCAAGCCTTCCAGTATTAGGCTTGTCCATTGCCAACAATAAAGATTGTGCAGGAGTATCTGACACCCAGAGAAAAAGAGGTAATGTTAATTAGCAACCATCAGCTGTAATTGTCATCCCCATTAAGATGCAGAATTATGTATTTCTTCGTTATAAATAACCTTTCTAATTGTACTTGATGTATGCCAATTTAATCAAAAAAGTATACTTGCAAAAGACAGATATTTGCATTAATGCTGCTTTAGATCTTCAAACCTTTTATTTCAAATTTGATTGGGAAAGGGAATCTATTGGAGCTGCATTGCCTTTATGTGATGGTATCTTTTTCTATCCAGGTATGTAGACCCTGATGCATTTTATACTAACATGAAGACAGTGGTTTCTGAAATTGCTCAAAGAAACAGCCCCTTTTTAGAATACTGGCCAAATTTCCGCCTCTCAGTCATGTGACAACACAGTGTGACAACACAGTGACAACCACCTAAACTGATTATGGGAGTCAAATCGGAAGTGGGGGAAGCAGCAGAACTCCAGTTTCAGTCCCTGAAGTAAATGTCACTGATACCCTCTTCTTTCTGCTTTTCTCTGAATCGTAAGAAGAGCTATAGACCACACTCTTGCCCCATTTTGTACATGAGGGAAACGTGAAGAGAAAAAAGCAGTTAAATCATACTCAAGTAGTGAATTTAAGGGGTTGGAGCTGGAGTTATAGAAGAACTGAAGTGTAGGTCAGAGGTGCTAGGGGTTCACCAGAGACAGAGTGGGGAAGCACAACAGTTGGGTTTACCGAAATACACTGCTGAGTAGAGCAGCAGGCAAGACAGAAGGGGTCTGCCGCGCTATGCGGTCAGCTCCCTGGTCAGGGACTGAACTCAGGCCACATCTGTGACAGCGCTGAGCCTTGGCCCCGAGGCCACCACGGAGGACCAGAAGCCAGCCTTTTTCTAAGTGCTGTTCACTTTTAATTTAGCAGTCTTTCAGAAAGTTTTTTTGTTGAAGTTTTTGTTTTGTTTGATTTTAAGGTATTTTGAGTTGAAGGAAGGGAGGTTTCTTAACTATTTGGTTATTATAGAGAGGGCATTGGGAAATATTTGAGAATGTGCTTTGAAGGACTTGATAGCTATTTGGGAGCTTTTTAAAAACTTATTCCTGCTTTAAAACCTTGATCCTTTGCCATAAAACTAAATGCTTCTGGGAAATTTGCCTTAAATGTACAAATTGGTGAGCTGCTGGAGTGCAGATAGATACCTGCGCATAGCCATGCTCCTAGACGACTGTTTGTGCAGAGCCAACTTGGTGGTGCTGGTGGGGGCCCCATGCCCTTGGGGGGTGACTCAGAATATCGGCTACCTGGGACCACATTCTACCAAAACCAGGCTGGAAAGACCTGAGTACCCTGCAGTCTAGAAATTAAGTTTCCCTCTTCATCTTGAAGAGAGTGTTCTTCCTTTGCCTTCTTTGGAAACATGTCCGCTCACGTTCATTGCTCATTTTTTCATCAGGCTGTCACTGGTGTTTTTGCTATTATAAAGGTTCCTTATATTTTTTGGTAAATGGTCTGCAAAATATTTTCTCCCATTCCTTTGGTAGCTTTTTGTGTTATTTTGATAGTTTCCTTTGCTGTACAGAAGCTGTTTTGTTAAATGTAGTTGCTTCTGCTTTCGTTACCTGAGCTCTAGGTGTCCTATCCAGAAATAATTTTGAAAGCCACATTTAAGGAGTTTCTATCCTATGCTTTCTTCCAGGAGTTTTATAGTTTCAGGCCTTTCTTTTAAGTCTTTAATCCATTTTCACTTGTTTTTGCGCATAGTGTAAAATAAGAATCCAACATTTTTTTTAATGTGACTGCCGAGTATTCACAGCACCATTTTTTTTACTGCTCATCTTCTCCCCATTGTGTTCTTTGTGCCATCATCAAAAATTAACTTGCCATTTGTGCTTGGGTTTATTTCTTGACTCTTCTATTCCATTGGTCTGTGTATGCTTTTATTTTTCTATGGCTTTGGAATATGGTTTAAAATCAAGAAATAGAAGGCCTCCAACTTTGCTCTTCTTCCTATTGGTTACTTTGACTATTTGGAATATTTTGTAGTTCCATAGGAATTGTAAGATTTTTTTTTTCTATTTTGGTGAAAGTGTCACTGGAATTTTGATAGGGACTGCATTGTATCTGTGTGTCACCTTGGGTAATAGGGATATTTTAACAGGATTAATTCTTCTACCCCATAAACATGGGTTATTTTTCCTTTATTGTGTCCTCAATTTTTTTATT